TGGATCCCCAGTATGCATAACTTGTCGCCGGCTACTACCAAATCTACCATCATCAAGTTAAACCCTCAACATTAACCCTGCTTCCCTTAGACGCCGACGGTAACCATGCTGTGCGTGTTACTCACCTGGCATGGCGCAGCACGGGCAACATTGCTGAAAGAAGCAGCAGGATCACGCTTCACCGTCCTTCTATCCCATATGCACTCAATAAGGTCTTCTGCGTCATCAGCCTCCTCATCAAGACGTCCATGTGGCCTCGAGGTGTGTAAAATACTATCACTTACACAAGGGTTGACCTCTTCTAGGACTCTACGAACTTCATCACGATATCCTTAGCGGCACTGAGACTGACAACAACAACAAGTCGATACACGCAGGTTCGATCCCACCACTCATCACTTTTCTCCTATTTCAACACCACCAATCACTCTACATCATTTACAGGTAAATTCAGCCCGAATTCTTCAACAATTTACTCACAGCAACTTCCGATGCTTTCGATGCTTTTGATGCTTTTTTCCACTTTTTTTACCAACTGATTTTGATGAAATACCCTCAATTTCATTCTGGCAGAACATCAAATCTGAATTTCTCCCAGCCACAAACAGCTCTCCTTCTGACTTGCTCTTTTTTCTCCCCGATAATCCTCAACGATCTATATTGTGCCCCATTCATAGCATCACCACTATCACCGCTTGGAGAGGACTGTCGAGTCGACACTCCAGAGGGATTCTCAATGTATAGGGAACAACAACCAGTCTCCACCTAGTAATGAAAACTCCGTCACGCGCCACGAAATTCTACCACTACCCTGAGCTTCTCAATGTTCTGCCCGCCTCTACCGATAATGACACTAGTCTGGTTCCTGGCTGTGAGCTCGACAGTGAAATAACCTCTGAAAAATCAAGCATCATCACCATCTTCAACATCTCAGAACCCCAGAGTTATAACGCACTAACCTCATTGACAACATGCTTTCAGCACGAGAAAAAAAATCTTATCTACCCCATTTTTTCTATGCTACTCCCTTTATTACCATTCAGCCGATCTGCGATGGCTCTCTTCACTCTATCGAACACGTAACGCAATTTTTAGTCCGTTCTTCCACTAGAAGCCTTTTGCTCATCGTCAAAGCCCATATCAGCTAGCTTCATCAAAACCTGTCAAAAAGAGGCACACATTTCTAGCGGAGCGAAACACCGATCTCACCCACCTGCTTTTCCTTGAACATCACTACTAGTCGACAACTAACCCATTCATCATACCGCTCCTCTATCTCCTTCTCAATGTACTGAGCAAAGAAGGCCATAGCTTGCAGCTGAGTATTGTCCAAATCACGGTAATACCGTATCTAACAGCATGATGATGATGATGCTATACTATAGAGTAGTTCTGCATCATCCAGCGGTACTCGCAGGAGTCATCTTCGGGATCTCTCTGTTTTCACCTTTTTCTCTCCGACTTGCTTTTTCTGGGCTCGTAACTAATCCCAAAATACCATCATTATCGTCGTCATCATCATCGAGTGGAATTACTTCTTCTCATGACAGTAGCGCTAGTCTGCGGTCGTACGCCCTCACGTAGCGCCCCTGTACTCCTTTGATTGGTTCTTCTTTCTCTACTATCAATTCTTCTTCTCGATCCACTTTGCGCCGTGCCTAAGACCGGCTCTCACCACATGTTGGTGATAGTCAATTATCTCACTTGATAGTAATGTTCGATCTGATACAGTCGGATATGGAATGTCTTGTTTCGCGGTAGATTGTACAGGAGGGAACCGCAATGTAGACTGAGATCAAAATCGATCACGTGATCGATTTGGCTATCACCACTCACATCAGCAGGTGGTGTGTACTCTTCTGGGAGGAACCCCACTGACTGAGCTTTGTTGTAGAATCGACGAGCTGAAGTTCGTTTGAATTTCCCAATCCTTACGCTCCACCGACGATTCTTACGTGAATACTTAGGCGAAGAGGGATACGCATAATCCTGGGAGTTGTTCCCATGTTGTGTGAATGTTATTGCCGATCGAATTGGAATATAAAGTCTTCGACCAGGTCGGAAATCAAGTTCGACTAGAGGACATACA